CTTCGGAGACGGAAAGAAAGTCGCTGTATATTAGAAATGAACAGAAGGATTATGGGTAACAAAGAATTAAAATGCAAAAGAATATAGCGCAGTTCCATATGCTATCATTACAAGATACTAAAGGTAAGATGATTTTTGGCATCGTGGCCAGAGGGCTGACGACATTTCTTCGGAAAACAACAATCATCTGGACACTTCGGCGCAAAAAGGCTGAATAGTGACAGGTTGTCTGGAATATTCAGAGGTTGTGATCCATTTCTCTTAAGATAAGCACAAGAAAACAAATTCAATTCAATAGCCCCTTGGTTCGATCTCGCAAGCGCTTATCAAATCAATACAGCACAAATTAATAGAAGAAACAGTAAAAAAAAAAAAAAAAATCAAATACCACATAAAATTAATGTCATAAAAAATTACGATGACAATTTAAACATAAGCTTATCTTCACATCACAAAACCTTTAACTGGCATGAAAAAAATGATATGATGGGTTGCACTATTAAAGAAACTCTGTTTCTAATAATTGAAACCAAAAATCGCTTGAAACCGAATATAGGGAACATTATATAAAAATGTGATTTATATATATATATATATATATATATATATATATATATATATATATATATATATATATATATATATATATATGAGTGTATGTGCCTTCTTCAGGGTTGGAATGTCGAACTAAGCTCACTAGTGATTGATATATATATGTAATGTAATAATGTACATAATACCTCATCTCAGAAATATGTACATAATACTTAATCTCAGAAATATAGACTAATATAGGGAACTAATATCAAACACAGGGAAAAAGGCAGCCCTCTATACAAACATGTCAGGGCGACATAACGATGGCAAAATTATCATTCACAGATGCCAGATTGGCGGGGTTAGAATGGGTTTTATAAAATGGGTCAGAAGAGGTTTAATAAAATGAGACGTTTTTCTAAAAAGGGCCGGAAGAAGTTTTATAAAATGGGCCAGGGGAAGGTGTATAACATGGACAGAATGTGTTTTATATGGGCCAGAAGGGATTTTATAAAATGGGCCAGATGCTGTTTTATAAAATGGGCCAGATGCTGTTTTATAAAATGGGCCAGAATGGGTTTTATAAAACAGGCCAGAGGAATTTTATAAAATAGACCAGAATGTGTTTTATAAAATGGGCCAGAATGGGTTTTATAAAAAATGAGACAAAACAGGTTTTATAAAATGGTCAGAATGGGTTAAATGAGATGTACCACAATGTGTTTTATGATATTGTCCTAAATGGGTTTTATTAGGTTGGTGCAAAAATAATGTCGTTTTTGACGTTCAACTTAACGTCAAAAAACGACATTATTTTTGCACCAACCTAATATTAAATGGGCCGGAATCAGTTTTAGAAAATAGTCCAGAAGGGGTTTTATAAAATGGGCTAGAATGGGTCTTTTTTTTTTTTTATATATAAAAATGGGCCAGCAGGGATTTTATAAAAATGGGACATCCAAATACTCTAAAATATTCTTACTGGAGCTTCCGGTGCGAATGCCAAGCAGTACAACATGTCGTCCAAATTTCTGGCGGAGTAAATTGCATCATGGTGCTCTTTTTCTCACATACTGTGTTCAACTTACGCTACTAACCTGTGCAGTCGACAAAATAAGAAAAAAAAAAAAAAAAGCAACGCGCATGCGCGAAATTAACAATACAAAATGGCGACAATTTACTCATCATATACTGTATATTCAGTCTATCTGCCTAAGCACCCGAGAAAATTTAATGAAGAAAACATGCTCTCCGCCAGGGTGCGAACACATTTCCTCATCTCGACGTAATGAACATAAAGAAAGCAAATGGTAAACAATTAATGTATTTAGTTTTAATCCGACATTCGAACGTTATTTTTAGTGGATACCCGTGTTTGAATAGCCGTACCGTTTTTTATTTTAAGCAGTATGTATTATGTCTACCGGCTTTGAGAAAACTTAAAAAATGTGCTCTCCAACAGGGTTCGATCCTGCGTTCACCTTTGCAAGAGAAACCACTGACCTGATTTAAACCGCTCGGCCACAGAGAACGTCAATGCCCGGCAAGGTTCTATTCAACTTTTTAAGAATTTCACATACCCTCATTTAGATTCCCCCGAAAGCCTATATCTACTCAATTTCATATCGGAATCGTAACTAAGCAATATCTTCAGAATTTTGGGATTTATTTTTAATCCAAAATTCCTATTACTTATTACTTCATTTTATAGTGGACTAGCAGCATGACCCGGCGTTGCCCGTGCTTGATTCAAAAATCGTACGACTCATACAGCAATCGCTATCACTTTACTTAAAATATTTTCCCCCTTCCTTGCCTTTAAAAGAGTGCTATGCTGGTGTTGCTATATGTCTTACTTCTTGCCTATCTCACACTGCGAATTTTTTCTAAGCTCTATACTAAACATTAAATCTGTTACGAAAAAAGAACTAAACAAAATGAACACAAAACGATCAGCTTTAAAAAAAGGACTCGTAACTGGAAAAACCGAATGAAAAAAGAATGTTAACAACAAATACTTTTTCACACCAAACCCAGTTCTGCGGAATTAGAATCAACGTTGAGTTTAAGCAAGCGAATGAGCCAATTGGAGTAAAGTGCTATGCAGATTTAAATTTTTCCCACATTTGTGACAAATGCAGCTATCGATTTTTGTTTTGCATGCTAGCATGCTAGTTAACATTCGTGTCAGTCAGCTGTTGGCTCTCACGCTGTCCAATAGAATCTTCCCGTCTATTCGTGGCAGCCAGCTATAGGCTCTCACTCTGGACAGCAGAAATTGGCTGCAAACTACATGAAAACTGCCGTAGAAGCATAAAAAATCGATTATTTCCACTATCGATGGGAGTTTGGAAATGCAAAGTCGGTCTTGGCCTTCCCACTAACTTGGAGCATGTGCATGTAAATTTTGGTGCAAATCGTCGAAAATTGCGGCCGTGCATTCGTTACACACACACACACACACACACACACACACACACACACACACACACACACACACACACACGTCCTGCCTTTTATAGAGATACTCGTATTTAAATAGACGACCCGTTTTTTAAGTAGTGTGTATTATGTCTATCGGCTTATACACTCAATAAAAACCTAATAAACAAAATATCCTCTCCGGCAGAATTCGAACCAGCGTCCTCCTTTGAAGGAGAAACCATTATCTGATTCGGCGTGTCAGAGAGAGTGTCCCAGCCCAACAAGGGTCTATATACTATTCAAGCAGTGTTTGTTGTGTCTACGCAGTCTCTTGAGAAATATCCAAAAGCCCAAAGTGGCATCAGCAGGAATCTGATTACTTACAGAAAGGATGTCTATCTGTATCTACATTGGTGCACACTGCTAACGGAGCGGCTATGTTTACACTGTAACAGCAGCAAGAAAACTGGTGCGATCAGGTCCACGCTTCGATCACGTGACCACAATAGTACCAACTACAAGCGCGCATGAGCAGAAGGCTAAATCTTTAATACATAAAAGTTATTGTTTGTTTATTTCCAGGTAGACGGAATTATAGACTATACAACAGCATTGTAATATTAGCAGTTTCCTTATAAGGAAACATTTTGCATTCATTGACTGAGCAGGCAATACAGCTTTCGGTTGAAATTTATCAAATCTTTCTCCTAAAACCATTTTTCACGAAAACATATTTATCAAGTCCTGTAGCGAAATGGCTCCAGGAAAATCAATCAATAAGATTACTTGAATATATTGAAACAGCTATTTGCCCAGATATGATAAGACTCGCAAATATCATCAGGGAATTAATACGCTAATACATGAGCTAACAATGACATGGAAGGTGATCGAGCAGCTGTCACTGCCATATAAGAGAATCGGTATTTCATTTCTTTATTTCTAACATTTTCCTATCCCTTAATACTTTGCTTAGTTTATGAAAGGCATGATCGATTGTCCAGCATTCACTTCCATATAAGAGATTAGATATTACATATCAGTTCAGCACTCTTTTCTTTGTTTCTAAAGACATTTTCCTATCTCTTAATACTTTGCTTAGTTTATGAAAGGCATGATGAGATTGCCCAGCATTCCCAAACATATAGGAGATTAGATATTACATAGAAGTTCATCACTCTTTTCTTTGTTTCTAAAGCCATTTTCCTATCTCTTAATACTTTGCTTAGTTTATGAAAGTCATCATGGTATTGCCCAGCATTCCCAGCCATATAGAAGATTAGATATTACATAGCAGTTTATTACTCTTTTCTTTGTTTCTAACGACATTTTCTCATCTCTTAATACTTCGCTTAGTTTATGAAAAACATGATGAATTTATCCAGTATTCACTGCTATGTAAACTTGATGTTTATCACTCTTTTGTTTGTTTCTAACGACATTTTCGTATCTCGTAATACTTTACTTAGTTTAGGAAAGACATGATTCATAAAAGTTGATTGTTCGACGTCTTTAACTATTTTTATACTAAGAGGATCATTGTAATTTTTTTTATTATTAAGAATCACTTTCAGAATATGACCTCTGTGTCATGGATTCGATCTTTAGCAAGTTTTCATTTTCCCCAAAGCTGTCATTAAATAGTAAATATATAACTTCGTCTTTATAACAAGCAAATAAATATTGATTCAAGCCTGGTCAGTTTGGCAGTTACCATTGGCAAAATACTCTGAAAATTGAGATTCAAATCAAAAGCTTTATTTCTGGTATTCGTTTTAATGTTATATTAAAAGCAAAAGAGCAAAAGAAACACCCATTTTTCTCGTTTAATTTTTTTTACATTGGTTGTTTTAATGTGAACTTTATGTGAGGCATCGAACAAACTGGAGGTGGCAATGGAACGCCGCCATATTGATGCCTCATTATTTACAGAGCGTAAATATAACAACACGGCGTCATCTTGTTCACTTCATTCGCCAGAGAAAGATTTCGGTTGCTAAGCATCCGGTTGCAATTTAACCTTGATGAAACTTTCGATTATGCATTTACTATCTATCTATCTATCTATCTATCTATCGCAGCTTGTTCATATCTATCTATCTATCTATCTATCTATCTATCTATCTATCTATCTATCTATCTATCTCAGTCTATTAATATCTATCTATCTATCTATCTATCTATCTATCTATCTATCTATCTATCACAGCATGTTCATATCTATCTATCTATCTATCTATCTATCTATCTATCTATCTATCTATCTATCTCAGTCTATTAACATCATCTATCTATCTATCTATCTATCTATCTATCTATCTATCACAGCTTGTTCATATCTATCTATCTATCTATCTATCTATATATATATATATATATATATATATATATATATATATATATATATATATTCCAGTCTACTTATATCTATCTATCTATCTATAAATTATCTATCTATCTATCTATCTATCTATCTATCTATCTATCTATCTATCTATCTATCTATCTATCTATTTATGTATCTATCTATTCATATCTATCTATTTATTTATAAATTATCTATCTATCTATCTATCTATCTAAATATATACTGGTATATGAATTATTAGTTAATGTATTTATACATAAAAAATGGGCAATCTCTGGTCACGAACACCTCTTACAATGAATCAATCGGTTCATGAACAAATCTTCCGAGCAAAAGACATCTCGGTTTATTAACGATGTCCCGAGTGATGAACACGCAAGCCGGCCACAACGTGGGTCTAAAAGCAAGGATTATCGGCGGGAAAGCGTCTGTGGTAGTGTAACTTTAGAATTCGAACAAAGAAATGTATGGAGCATACATATCCCTATTTGAATTCGTCGTGTCTTCCGCTGAATTCCTTTGGACTTTGTGTTTTTTGTTTGTTTTTTAATAAATTATTAGATAAGACCGCATGGTACCAAAGAAGTTGGAAACCCCGGGATTTAGCATTGGCGGCCACAACCTTAACAACATAAGATACGCAGACGACACAGTACTGATAGCAGACATGGAAAAGAAATTACAAAATCGCCTACACAATAATAAAAAGAACAGAAACCTTCACCTTGCCAACAGACGTAGACTGCTTGTACTTTTTCGGAGGTGGATAAGCAGAGTGTTTCCACTGTTTGCTTTGAATCTTTGATTCAGGTTCGATGTACTGAACCCAGGTTTCATTTTGAGTCACTAATCTGCTGTGAAAATTCTCAATGTCAGATTAGTGAGTCAGAATTGTCCTGCAAATATCAACCCTTTTCAGTTTCTGCTCGGGTGTCAGCATTCTTGGGACTCGTCTTATAGACAGCTTGCTCATCTTCAAGCTTATGGACTTAGCTATCTGCTAAGATACGCAGACGACACAGTACTGATAGCGGAAAAGAAATTACAAGATCTCCTACAGAAGGTAGCGACGGGGAGTGAGAAGAAAGGAATAAGCATAAACTACAAGAAGACAGAATGCATGGTCATCAGTAAAAAGAAGGGCCCGAAATGCGATTTGCAGGTCGGGAACACTAGAATCAAGCAGAAGTTTAAATATCTGGGAAGCGTCTTGACAGAGGACGGTAAGTGCGACACTGAGATCCGTAGGCGTATTGGGATGGACAATGACGCATTCCAAAAGCTGGGCAGAGTATTGCGAGACAGGAAGATATCTTTGGTTACAACGAAAAGAATACTGAGCTATTACGTGACATCTGTCCTTCTTTACGACATCGAATGTTGGACGATTTCCTCAAAGATGAAGAAGACAGTCGCGGCAACAGAGATATGGTTCTACAGAAGGATGCTAAGGATATCATGAACCGAGCATCTGAGAAACGATGAGGTCATAGAGATGTTACAAACAAGGAGAACGCTTATAGAGGCAGCTAAAGTTTCTGGGACACATAATGAGGAAGGAGGGCGTGGAGAATCTGATACTCGCGGGTCGAATAGAAGGGAAGAGACAATGGAAAGCAACGCGTGACATTCCTGACGAGCTTGAGCAGGTGGATGACAGAACGTGGTCTGTGGGAGGGAGCAGAGGGAAGGGACTTGATGAGAGCTGCAAGGGATAGAAGGAGGTGGAGAGCTATGATCGCCTACGTCCTGAAAGGACATGGCACATAAAAAGAAAAGTAAAATGAAAAGCACCAGAATCAGTACAGATGTGAAAAAAGAAATCATAGCCAAAAAATGAAAATGGCGATCGTGTCACTGACCTTTGTACATGTTATGGTCCAGGTTAGGACCAAGGAAGAACAACACGAACACAAGAGTAGAAATAACGAAGGTATATTACACGAAATAATTATACAAGATGTGGAAGATGTAAGTATGACTGTCAGTCTGGTTTGGAGTGAACTACTATCGGTTCGACTCGATTCGTCCCTCTCTCTTGAGAGGCATAGTATACATAGTGTTAGGAAGAGTTCATTCTGTAGTTATAGGTAAGGACCCATGACACTATCTTATTTAGCTATCTCAGGCTGGTCATTATCTATCTATCTATCTATCTATCTATCTGTTATGGTCCAGGTTAGGACCAAGGAAGAACAACACGAACACAAGAGGAGAAATAACGAAGGTATATTACACGAAATAATAATACAAGATGTGGAAAATGTGAGTATGACTGTCAGTCTGGTTTGGAGTGAACTACTATCGGCTCGACTCGATTCGATAATTACTCCCCCCCCGAGGGAAAGATGTGGCACAAGGCCGAGTTTTATGTGGGTTTTCCGAGCCCGTAGACTCGGCCAAAAAATGCCCGTAGAAACTGTAAAAATAGAATCGGGTTGGTCAACCTGCCCGAACGAGACTCTGCCCTTCGGCGGAGCCTCGTCCGAGTTCCTCTCTGCTCAGAGGCAGAGAGTTCAGATAAATGAAGAATAAACAATATTTTTTATTTACTTTTACCAATAAGCCATGTCTAATGGATGTCAGTTATCTCCTGTTAACTCCCCTCTCCAAGTTCTCCACTGCCCTCAAAACCTCCTGAATCAGAACATTTTGGGTGCTGGATGGATGTTTATCGTTTTATCCACTGGACATGTGTCTTTACGTGGAACTAGAATTGTTCTTATTTTTTAGCGTCAAATTTTCTTTTTAACATTCCAACCACAGATGAAAGAAGGCCAGGGCGTAAAACAGACGAAAGTATAGAAATAATTATGGCGACAAAGATAGAACAATAGTCGAATAATGTAAATAGATACATAAACTCATCTCAGAAATATAGATAAAGATAAACATATATATATATATATATATATATATATATATTAAATCCATATAAGATATATATATATATATAATATATTAAATCCATATATATATATATATATATATATATATATATATATATATATATTAATATTTTATATAAACTGATTAGTATTATATATGTTTATTATGATATTAATATATAAATATATATAATTTATAAACATGTTGATATTGATATATAGCAATATTCTTGACATGGATATTTCGAAAGTTTTATCGATTACTTTTTTTTACCCAATTCTAGGCAATGTTATCAATATTATAGACAAATGTCATTTTTTATATAAATGTATACGTACGGATATACACATGTCGGGACCGGAAATGAAGTCTCTTATACGGTTTCTCTTATATCCTGAAATTTATTTTGTTACACTAAATATGCTGTCACTTTGGGTTAAAGGAATAAAGGCATTGCTCTTATAGAACAGTCTACCCAGCGTGGGAAATAAGGGGGTTCGACATTCCAACCACCTTATAGAATTTCTCTTATGCAACGACCGAAAACGTTGTGAAAAATAATGCATATTAACACTGGTGAGGACAATAGTCAAATAATAATTAAATAAGGGGTTAAAAAACCTCATCTCAGAAATATAGACAGATACTAAAGGGCCGAAACATTATAATAAATATGGCGACAAAGATGGGGACAATAGTCGAATAATGTAAATAGTGTAACATAAAACCTCATCTCAGAAATTTAGACAGATACTAAAGGGCAGAATGCCATTCAATAAATTTGCCGACAAAGATGAGGACAATAAGTCTGAATAATGTAAAATATTTTACATTTACTTTTCTCAGAAAATAGACAGATACTAAAGCCCGAAACGTTGTCTAAATATGGATGAGGTCAATAGTCCGAATAATGTCCCTGTTAACTATCACCTCTCAGAAGTTACGACAATGAAACATTGTAATAAATATTGAACAAAGATGAGGACAATAGACTGAATGGGTCCTGTACATAATACCACATGAAATATAACCAGATACTAGATCCACTGAAACATGTGTAATAGATATGGCGACAAAAGATGAGGACAATAGACTGAATAAATAAAGGTTCCGTTTACATAATACCTCATCAGAAATATAGACAGATACTAGACGGCCGAAACGTTGTAATAAATATGGTGACAAAGATGAGGACAATAGTCCGAATAATGTAAATAGTGTACATAATACCTCATCTCAGAAATATAGACAGATAAATTCAGGGGTCGCAATATAAGAAATAGGATTAGACACGATTATATTCTGTATTTAATTATTTACTGATCGATTGATTGATTTATTGACTGATTGGTTGTTTTTTCTTTGCAGTCTACATTGAGAAATTTCATGTCTCCCGGTGTTGCAATACTTCATCGCCAGTGTGGCACCACTTTCTACAAACAAGAAGAAAGAAAATCCACGGCAACAATGGCCAGTTTAACAGAATTTGAAACAAAATACCTTTCCAGTGATCCAGAGGTTTTTGTTGGTAAGTTACATTGTACATATATATATTATTTATGATTCTGCCCTTCGGCATAGCCTCGTCCGGGTTCCTCTCTGCCTTTGGGCAGAGAATTCGACAGCAGCCAAGATCTGAATAACAGATGCCGGCTTGACTCTCCCGTCTGCTCTCCTTACGGATACCTATAGGTGGTTACCATCTATAATGCCACCACTCATGGTGGTGTCAAGTTATTCCATCACATCAACCTAAAAACATCCCCCCCTTGAAAATGGCTAAAGAAGTGACCGAAAGCGCTTGGAACAATAGACAATTTTGCAAATTCCTTGCTCTCACCAAAACTGAAAGAATCTGAAGGAAAAAGAAAAAAATTAGACGCTTTTATTTAATTCACATTTAAAATCAGTCCAAGTTATTGGAACACCGTTAATAAAATTCTAGAAAGCCATGGGGCATATTGTAATGGCTGAATAATGACGCTACGAATAAAAAGAAAATGATGGAAACTTTTGCATCAAGCGAATATGATAGATTGATTTAACAAGTGTCTAAACAGGAATTATCGTGGCGATGATTGGTGATGATGATGATGAGAACAGATGATAAGCACTTGGTTAATGGCAAGCGTCGGTGGCTTTTATGAGTCTCGAGCAAGAATTGCCGCTTTCAAGATGGCGAAAGCAACGGAACGCGGACAGTCATTAAGTTTGGAATTGATTTCTGGAGATCGGATAATGTGGATGGCGCAAGAATTGAAAACCACAAGAGCAAAATTAAAGAGAAACATGGTGCCATCCTGAATTGTTTACAGGCTTCTATATAAACAGCAGACAATACGGACGGGAAGATAAGTAAACGCGTAAGTAACGACTAGATCAATCATAAAAAAAAACGCGATGAAGGAAGATAGATAAAGCTGACTTCGATAAGTAGCGAATTGCATTATGATGCCTTCACATATGGTAACGTTTCTTTGCCGTTTCTTTATAAGGAAACATTCGGAAAGCCAAGTTATTCACTTCCGAGCCGTCGGGCTGGGATCGAATCTTGTTCCCACCAATATTAACCGTTTCCTTATAAGGAAACATTCGGCATTCATTGACCGAATAGTCAATGCTATACGAGAGACCCTTTTCTACACTCGCTGGTCATCGGGCTGGGATAGCCTGAGATTCCCAACCTCCCAGTTTATTTTTTGGCCCCCACCCCACTTTCCACCTCGACTGGGTCAGCTTTATACTTCCCCATGCCCGTATAATTTTTTTATCACCTTTCCCACTCCCTTAGCGAGAGAGCTGCTTGATTTTGTTCCAATGGACAGAATACAGTGGTCTCCCTGCCTTTTGAGGGTTGGACGGACCCTACTAACATCAGTTAACGTTTAATTTCATTTATGTTAATATTTTAGTTCGTTATTGGGTTCATCTCCCCCCACCTCTCATTTTTTTTCATCTTAGAATTTTTGTACATATGTGTTAGGATCATTAAATTATTATGACACGGGGCGCGTTTTGTAGGTCTCCCTAGAGTGGATGTGGTATTATGGTGCATGGAGGATTAATTGGTGACGGACGAGTTCTTATAGTGAATGAGTAAATTGTAAGGTCTGAATGGGTCGTGAATCAAATTAGCTAGGTATAAGATAGTTAGTGAAGACCAGCCTTTTACTCCCCTCCCCCTTTTCGGCCTTGTGCCACAATTTTGTATTTTTTACAATATAAATCCCGGTCATCGGGCTGGGATCAAAGTGTAGTATCAGTTCTCTTGCAGATAAATTACATTTAATCTCTCCATGGTGTCTGTCTTCGGACAAAGCGCAATTCAATTGTGTCTTTGCGGACAGAGTTCAGCTGAAAGATGGTACCCGTTCTCAGGGAAAATCTACCCGCTACAATACCTCTTTCATAGCACTAAACATTAAGGATTTGTAGTAATACCAATACAACGGTTGTTGGGGCTGGGCTATTTTGGGATCTAGCCCGAGTACACGAGTTCGGGCTCCCCAAATTAAACTGACTGTTTGTCACATCCTGTCAGCGTGAGGCTGGAAGTAAACACTAAGTGTCGTGCTTGTTCCCATCAATTTTAATGACGATGGCAATATAAGGAAACATTCCTCATTAATTGACCGAAAAGTCAATGCTATACAAGATACCCTTTTCTACACTCGCTGGCCATCAGGCTGGGATCAAAGTGTAGTATCAGTTCTCGCGCAGATAATTTACATTTTACCTCTCCATTGTGTCTGTCTTCGGACAAAGCGCAATTCACTTGTGTCTTTGTTTGCGCACAGAGGTCAACTGAAGGTATTATCAGTAGGTGACCGTTCTCGGGGAACAGCTGCCCATTGCAATACCTCTCTCATAGCTCTAAACATTAGGGATCAGTAGTAATACCGATACGACGGTTTTGGGGGCTGGGCTATTTGGGGATCTAGCCAGAGTACACACGATCGGGCTCCCCACATTAAACTGATCGTTTGTCACATCCTGTCAGCGTGGGGCGACAAGTAAATACAAGTTGTCCATAAAGTTCGTGTGCACTTTAAAAAATTATAACTTTATTTGTATTTGCGATAGAAATAATCGGTCAAAAATGTTTTAATGTACCTAGTTTTAAGTATAGCTAAAATAACTAATTTCAGGCATTACTCTAAATCAGTTGGCAAATTATTTAAAACTTCTAAATAATAATAATCTATTAAATAATAGACACGAGTTAACGGTTTTCTGTAGGCATCATCAGATTTTTGGTTTGAATTATTAGATAAAAAATTTATATAACT